CCATTTGGCTATTTGTGAGTTATGGAGGGTGATTGGGATTTCTTTTCCCTTTTTTGGGAAATGGGCTCTCAAGCTAAAGCTATAGGCTGGCAGATTCAGAAGTTTCAGGGGTCTGTTTCTATACATTTGCCTATGTTAAAGGGGTAAAAGGGCTCTCTTCATTAGACATGTGGAAGATGAAGCAACCCCTTCCTTTAGAACTGTGCCTGCATGGCACTCTTTTCACCCTGGTACACCCTCCTTATAGTGGGTATAGTGATTTTTAACCCTAAAACAAAACAAACAACCTCACCATGAGCTTTAGGACCAGATGAGGAATGACAAGTGAAGCGATGAAGCAAGCCATCTTCACAGAGTATAAAAGACATCGGAGAGTTGGTAGATAACTGTGAAGATAGTTCTCTTAAAACTATTCTGTGATACAGTCATGTGGAAAGGGATGTTTGGCTGTGATTGTTTTCTCAGTTAATGGGTAACTGAATTTCTTTACCCCTCAAAAAACAAAATATTTGGAAAAGAAAGTGGGGATGGTTAGTTTCAGAACAAGTTACAGCTGTAAACAAAAGCAGTTAGCATTTGGGATGGCATGCCAAAACCTGTATAGATGTCCTTGTATCACATCACTTCTCAAGTATTCCTTCATTGGGCTTCATCCTTTTAGCTGGGCTCTTGGTGGTGGGATAGAGACTTAGGGAGGGTAGAGGGAGAGTGTGGAAATAGGTGCTTCCTTTGGCTGGCAAATGTCTACATCTTGAAACAAACAGATGTACCTAATGAGCTTCTCCATTCACTTTGTAAAAATAAGATTTGTATGTGTACCATCTTGGTCCTCTCCCCTCCCCCATTTTGTTAAAATATCAGGATAGCACTCCCAGGCCACTTTGGTCTCAGTGTAAGATCCCTATTAACTATCTGAAAGGAAAATAGAGCCAAGACCTCTGGTCTCAAATATATAGGAATTGCCTTTCTTTAGTCTTCAGGACTATTGTGTGAAAACAAGTAGGGGTCTAATCTCCTAGAAGGTAGGGGCTTTTATCCTTAAAGAGAATATGTCCCCAGATTATTAGCACTTTTAGAGGAGAAGCCAAGGTATGTAGGGTGTGTGGCTGGCCCATCAGTGGAGCACGAGAGAGAATGGGATACCATTGTGGGAAGAGAAAAGTTCCTCAGGGGCCTCCCACTGCTAAAGCTTTTTGTGAGATGTTGATCTGTGCTTCCTGGATTTGACTTTTAAAGGAATTATTCTGGCAGCACATGTAGTATTCTTGGATGATCTTGCTGCTCTTATTTCTCCTTTTGTGTGTGTGTGTGTGTGGCTATGGGTTTTCATTTGTAACTCCATCTGCTTAGGAGAGTGGGCTCTCTATAAGGGAACCTGCTGTAAACTTCATTGCAGCAAGGATGTAGAGAGAAATAGGACTTAATTCCACTAGGGGCTCTCATCTCACACCTTAAGGAGAAGGAGATTTCTAGAAAAACTGGGCCAGATTTTCTTTGTTCTCCATCATTTTAATGTGGCAGGATGTTCAATTTTTCTTACTCTTACCTATGTTATATTTCTTCATAACGTGTCCAAAAAGAAGAAAGACGCAATGTGTCTCTTAACTTTGTTCTTTGATCCCTCTCAGTTTCTTCTTGATTTCAGCATGTGTCAGATTCCTAATTTTGGATATGAGTTAGCAAATTTAACCATTATGTTTGTGCCCTACCCAGGGGACTCCCCAGTTTCTGACTTGAAGTAGACTGAGAAGAATCCACGAGGTGCTATTTGGCCAGACTTAAGTAGATTCTATTTCCTTGGTTCTCCCTCTCCCTGAGGACCTCTTATTTTATTGTCCCCTCTTCTAGGTTAATTCTCCTTTGATTTGACTTTGTTGAGAAGGAGGTTGGAGAGTAGATTAGCAAAGTTCCAAGTGCAAAATTACAGTGTGTTAGAGTGTGGGGGGAAAATTAGTCTTATTTTTCCCTACATGGGATACAACACTGTGAATTCAATCTTCAACTGAAGGCCCTGCAGTTCTCCTAAAACATAGTTGTTTGTTTTTCTTTAACAAAGTTTAAGCTAGTGTTAATAAATTAAAAAAAAAATTGCTTGTCTGTCTACTTCAGCTTTGTTTTATGCCCATTTCATATTGTTGTCTGTGTTGTAATTCATAACTTTTGATACCATTTCTGATGTGTAAAATTGGTTGTCTTGTAAATATCTTATAAAGAGTTCAATTGTAAATAAACTATTGTGGCTGTTAATTTTTGAACTTCTGCTTCAATTTATTATATTTATTGGCAAACATTAAACAATTCTGCTTGTATATTTGAAACATTGGAAAAAGAAATCCATTTCCACAATAAAAAAGAGTAACACATTATTTTCCCCTTTATATAAGATACTCACTTTCATTTGTATATAAGTAGAATGTATGTTTCATCCTTCTCAATTGTCTAGTGTGCTTCCTTAAGTATAATCAGCAACTTGGCTGGGTGCAGTGGCTCACGCCTGTAATCCCAGCACTTTGGAGGCTGAGGTGGGCAGATCACTTGTGGTTAGTGGTTCAAGACCAGCCTGGCCAACAGTAAAACACGGTAAAATCTCATCTACTAAAAATGCAAAAATTATCCAGGTGTGGTGGCATGCACCTGTTATCCTAGTTACTTGGGAGGCTAAGGCAGGAAAATCTCTTGAACCTGGGAAGTGGAATTAAGCCAAGATCAACCTACTACACTCCAGCCTGGGCGACAGTGAGACTCCATCTCAAAAAAAAAAAAAAAAAAAAAAAAAAAAGACTGGTCAAAAAAAAAAAGGGGGGGTGCTGGGCATGGTGGCTCACATTTGTAACCCCAGCACTTCGGGAGGCTGAGGCGGGTAGATCACCTGAGGTCAGAAGTTCGAAACCAGCCTGGCCAACATGGTGAAACCCTGTCTCTACTAAAAGTACGATAAATTAGCCAGGTGTGGTGGCAGGCACCTGTAATCCCAGCTACTTGGGAGGCTGAGGCATGAGAATCGCTTGAACCCAGGAGGGGCAGAGGTTGTGGTGAACCGAGATCATGCCATTGCACTCCAGCCTGGGTGACAGAGGGAGACTCCAACTCAAAAAAAGAAAAGTATAATTAGCAACTTCAGAAACGAGATTATAGGATACTTGGTCCCTGGTGTCTAAGTTAACAAAATCTTACAGTTGGAAAGACCTTAGAGGTCATCTAGTGTGACCCTGATACATGATTTACCCTTGATAACATTCCAGAGGAGCAAATTCCAGCTTCTGCTTCAACAATTTGTTTTTTACATTACATTTTTCCCCCTAAGTGTTTGAAAATTCTTGCTTGTTGACAAAAATCTAACTTCTTGTAACTTAAACCCATTGGTTTTTGCTTTGCCTTCTAGGATAATGAAAAAAAGATCAATCTCTCCTTTTCTTCATAGTCCCTAAAGATTGCTGTGGCTCGATGCCGGGCAAGGTGGCTCACGCCTGTAATCCCAGCACTTTGGGAGGCCGAGGTGGGCGGATCACGAGGTCAGGAGATCGAGACCATCCTGGCTAACACGGTGAAACCCCGTCTCTACTAAAAATACAAAAAAATTAGCCGGGCGTGGTGGGTGGGCGCTGGTAGTCCCAGCTACTCAGAAGGCTGAGGCAGGAGAATGGCATGAACCCCGGGGGGTGGAGCTTGCAGTGAGCGGAGGTCGCGCCAAAGCACTTCAAGCCTGGGTGACAGAGCGAGACTGTCTGAAAAAAAAAAAAAAAACAAACAGGCCGGGCGTGGTGGCTCAAGCCTCTAATCCCAGCACTTTGGGAGGCCAAGACGAGCGGATCACGAGGTCAGGAGATCGAGATCATCCTGGCTAACACGGTGAAACCCCGTCTCTACTAAAAAATACAAAAACCTAGCCGGGCGAAGTGGCGGGTGCCTGTAGTCCCAGCGACTCGGGAGGCTGAGGCAGGAGAATGGCGTAAACCCGGGAGGCGGAGCTTGCAGTGAGCTGAGATCCGGTCACTGCACTCCAGCTTGGGCGACAGAGCAAGACTGTCTCAAAAAAAAAAAAAAAAAAAAAAAATTAAATTGGACCCAGACCAAACAACTGAAGGACAAAGTGGCAGACTATCACTTTCCTTATTTAGACACTAAACTTGGCAGCCTTATTTGCACCAGTTTAGCTTATGATCGATAAGATCCTCCAGGTCTTTTACTTTAATACTTATTAAATCATATATCCTCCATTTTGAACTCAGGCAGTTGGCTTTTGGAGCTGGACTTACAAGTCGTCACGTTTGGCCACTTGTCTAATTAGCTGAGATTGTTTGAATTTTTTTTCTGAGACGGAGTCTCGCTGTCACCCAGGCTGGAGTGCAGTGGCTCCATCTCGGCTCACTGCAAGCTCCGCCTCGCGGGTTCACGCCACTCTGCCTCAGCCTCCCAAGTACCTGGGACTACAGGCGCCCGCCACCTCGCCCGGCTAGTTTTTTGTATTTTTTAGTAGAGACGGGGTTTCACCGTGTTAGCCAGGATGGTCTCGATCTCCTGACCTCGTGATCCGCCCGTTTTGGCCTCCCGAAGTGCTGGGATTACAGGCATGAGCCACCGTAACCGGCCTTGAATTTTCATTTAATCTCTGAAGGCATTCATAATTACTTCCAGTTTCATGTTGTCTATAAATTTGATAAACATCAGGATCCTTAACCATGTTATTTATAAAAATTCTACTCAGGAAAGGCTGCACGTGGTGGCTCACTCCTGTAATCCCAGCACTTTGGGAGGCCTAGGCGGGCGGATCATGAGGTCAGGAGATTGACACCATCCTGGCTAACACGGTGAAACCCCGTCTCTACTAAAAATACAAAAAATTAGCCAGGCGTGGTGGCGGGCGCCTGTAGTCCCAGCTACTCGGGAGGCTGAGGCAGAATGGCGTGAACCCGGGAGGCGGAGCTTGCAGTGAGGCGAGATGGCGCCACTGCACTCCAGCCTGGGCGACAGAGACTCCGTCTCAAAAAAAAAAAACTTTTTTTTTTTTTTTTTTTTTTTTTTTTTTTTTACTCAGGAAAGAATCCTATGCCATAGTGGCCTTTGTTTGATACATACATTATTAGCGTGCACTCCTGTAGGTACACTAAAAACTTAGCTCATGCACTTTGTATATCCTTATAATGGTACAAAGAAAATACATTGATTCTTTTCATTGGTGACAAATGCCTTGCCAAAATCAAAGAATTTCCATGCCTTAAGAAGGAAATAATGTCAGGATTTTGAATCAACATCCGTTTCTACTGACCATTTATTTTTAAATAGGTTTTAAAATCCTCACAAGGGCAGTAGCTCATGCCTGTAATCCCAGCACTTTGGGAGGCTGAGACGAGAGGATCGCTTGAGCCCAGCCAGGAGACAAGCCTGAGCAATAGCGAGACCCCCATCTCTACAAAAAATAGAAAAATTAGCCGGGTGTGGTAGTGTGTGACGGTTGTCCCAACTACGAAGGAGGCTGAGGCAGGGAGGTCACCTGTGCCCGGGAGGTCAAGCTGCAGTGAGCCGTGATCGTGCCACTGCACTCCAGCCTGCGCAAGAGACCCTGCCTCAAAACCAAACCAAACCAAACCAAACCGATAACACTGGCATCATACCAGCCTGCACTTTGGGACAGGTGATGGCTGGGGTGGGAAGAAACGTGAAGAGGAAATGAGAACACAGAGAAAACGCTGCAACAAGAAGTCCTCTGGCTTCACTGCAGACAATTGGTTTCTCCTTCGCTCGTTATCTTAAAAACCGGGCTGGTGTAGCAAATCTGACGCAGCACTACGGCTTTTAAGATTTACCTTGATTCGTGATATTACCAAGCAAAGGAATGCAGTAAATTGACCTGCTTCAAACGTAGGTAGAACTGAGAAACGGAAACAGAAAACCATGAAACAACCCCAGTGTTGCAGTAAAGCTGTGACAGGTCGATGCCTTCCACTCGGGAAGCCCAAGATGGCCGGGCCAGGAACCCGGGAAGCAGCTGAAGTCTCAATTCCCCTCGCCCTAGGCCTGCCTAAGAGAAGTCAGAAACCGCGCCACGCCCCCTTACATCACCGATAGACGTAATCCGGTTCCGCCGCAAACCTGCCGCAGGCCAAGGCCCCGCCCCGTGTCCCGCCCACCCCAAGCGGGATGGCTGAGCGCCGCACGCGCAGCACGCCGGGACTAGCTAGCGAGCCTCCCAGCAGCCTCTGGGACGGGCGCGGTGCGTAAGTAGCTCGCCGGCGGTGGCCGTTCTCCGTAAAATGGCGGACCGGCGGCGGCAGCGCGCTTCGCAAGACACCGAGGACGAGGAATCTGGTGCTTCGGGCTCAGACAGCGGCGGCTCCCCGTTGCGGGGCGGCGGGAGCTGCAGCGGTAGCGCTGGAGGCGGCGGCAGCGGCTCTCTGCCTTCACAGCGCGGAGGCCGAATCGGGGCCCTTCATTTGCGGCGGGTGGAGAGCGGGGGCGCCAAGAGCGCTGAGGAGTCGGAGTGTGTGAGTGCGCGCAGGCGAGGCGGGGCGGGGCGGGGTGGGGACCGGGCGGCGAGCCGGCCGGCCGGGGGCGGGGTGTAGGTGATGCTAGGTGTCTGGGAGTTGATAGTAGATACTGGGACTTTTTTTGTTGTTTTTACGAGAAAAGGGGAGTTATCCCAGTGTGAGTTTGCATCCGGAGTTCTAAGGGAAGAAGGATTGGGGGTTTCTGGGAGGATGGCAGAGCCGCTGGGTATGGAAAGCGGATGTTTATTCAGAAATCGGGTCTGGAGGGAAGGAGACCAGATCTGCCTTGGCTACTAAAGACCAGACCTGCCTTGGCTACTACTTGTCTCTCTCTCCGACCATTTTGTGCTCAGTCTTCAGCTCCTCACCCACATTTCTTTATTGGGCTCTCCACCTCTGGAAATCACAGAACTAACCCATGTCTTCTACTTTCCTTCAGGAGAGTGAAGATGGCATTGAAGGTGATGGTGAGTAGCATCTTTTACCCCATTAGGACAAGAGTTTTTTTTAACATAAACTCAGAAAATCTATTTCCAACTGTCGACATTCTCACACACGGATTTAGGGCCACAGAGTGGCTTTTTGTAGCATAGTGCTTAAGAGCATAGGTTTTAGCAGTGTAGTCTTGTGCAAGTTACTCTGAGTCTGTTTTTCCTTCTGTAAGTGGAGACTATAATTTTATTCACGTTGTAGGTTGATGTCAGAATTAAATGAGACTCTTAGTCTGACCTATAATAAGCAGCCAAAAAATGTTTCTGGGTTTCTGTTTTTCCACATATTTCTGTTTTATTTCAGCTGTTCTCTCGGATTATGAAAGTGCAGAAGACTCAGAAGTGAGTATGACAGGTTTTTTCCTATGGTACAGATCAGAAATGCTTTTAGAAAGTGTACACACCTTCGTTGCAAACGTACCATGACCTCCGTGTTTATCCTCTTGTGTATTCTTCATTTATGCTTCTGAGAAAGTGTTACAGAATGTCTTGTTCTCTTTAGACCTAGGGAAAACTTGGGGCATGCCGTCTCAAGCCACAGGTGTTACACTGTTAGTTGACTTCTCTTCCTGTCTGAAGAATATGAGATTCTAAATAAGAGAATGAGTACATCTTGAAGTCCTCTGAAAGATGTTTGACAGTTTGTTTTATGCAGTGTAGGTTAAGAAGCCAGCCAGTTGGATATTTTTTTCGTGGATTTTTTTTTCCAAATCTATCTGAAGACTTTGAAAGGGTAGGATTCTGAATGTTTTGTGCCAAGAGCATCCATCATTTTATAGGTGGGGATTTCTCTGTTTCTAGGAGAGTTTCCTGTCTTTTGGATAAACTACTAGAGATGCCATCAGAATAAATGTTTGTTTTCTGGGTTGTTGAGTGGAGTCCTGAGTTCTGCTAATGGGATTATATACAGGGGGAATTGGATAGTGGATCAAAGATTTTGTCTATAAATTTTTAGAACCGTTACTACATTTTAGAATCTGTTAAGCTCTTGAAGATGGAACAGTGAACACTATAACAAAATTCCTATCTTTAGAGATCTTACAACTTAATAAGGAAGTCAGACAAACATTCAAGCAATTGTACCACTTGCTGATAGAGGATAGCGCTGGGATAGGGCTAAGTAGGGTGTTATAGCTGGGCACTGAATCCATCCTAGTCAGTCAGGAAAGATTAAGAGTTGACTGGGTATAATGTGTTCTAGGCAGAGGGAACAACAGTCAAGAAAGCCCATAGGGGCTGGGAGCAGTGGCTCATGCCTGTAATCCCAGCACTTTGGAAGACTGAGGCAGGCGGATCACTTGAGACCAGGAGTTTGAGACCAGCCTGGCCAACATGGTGAAAACCCATCTCTACTAAAAAATAACAAAAATTAGCTGGGTATGGTGATGTATGCCTGTAATTCCAGCTACTTGGGAGGCTGAGACACGAAAATTGTTTGATCCCAGGAGATGGAGGTGGCAGTGAGCTGAAATCATGCCACTGCACTCCTATGTGGGTGACGGAGTGAGACTGTCTTAAAAAGTAAATACATAAAAAAAAAAGAGGCCAGGCACTGTGGCTCACGCCTGTGATCCCAGCACTTTGGGAGGCCGAGACGGGCGTATCACAAGGTGAGGAGGTGGAGACCATCCTGGCTAACACGGTGAAACCCTGTCTCTACTAAAAATACAAAAAATTAGCCAAGCATGGTGGCGGGCGCCTTGTAGTCCCACCTATTCTGGAGGCTGAGGCAAGAGAATGGTGTGAACCCGGAAGGCGGAGCTTGCAGTGAGCTGAGATCGCACCACTGCACTCCAGCCTGGGTGACAGAGCGAGACTCCGTCTGGAAAAAAAAAAAAAACCCATAGGGGTACAAAAAAGTAATAATACTTAGGATGAATAAGATCTAAACCCAGCGCAATGGCTCACACCTGTAATCCCAGCACTGTGGGAGGCCAAGGTGGGCCAGTCACTTGAGGCCAGGAGGTCAAGACCAGCCTGGCCAACTTGGCAAAACTCCATCTCTACTAAAAATACAAAAATTAGCAGGTCGTGGTCACGCATGCCCGTAATTCCAACTACTCAAGTGGCTGAGGCAGGAGAATCCCTTGAGCCTGGGAAGTGGAGGTGGCAGGGAGCCATAATCAACACCACTGTAATCCAGCCCGGGCAACAGAGCAAGACTCTGTCTCAAAAAAATTTAAAAAATAAGAATGACTAAGATCTAGAATTTCATATTTGCAACATGGTGACTACAGTCAACAGTAACTTATTGTATATTTAAAAATAACTATTGGCTGGGTGTGGTGGCTCAAGCCTGTAATCCCAGCACTTTGGGAGGCCAAGGTGGGTGGATCACGAAGTCAAGAGATCGAGACCACCCTGGCCAACATGGTGAAATCCTGTCTCTACCAAAAATACAAAAATTAGCCGGGGTGTGGTGGCGCGCGCCTATGGTCCCAGCTACTCAGGAGGCTGAGGCAGGAGAATTGCTTGAATCTGGGAGGCAGAGGTTGCAGTGAGCCGAGATCACGCCACTGTGCTCCAGGCTGGTGACAGGGCAAGACTCCATCTCAAAAAAAAAATAAGTGTCAATAAAAGAATGTGATTGAATTGTTTGTAACAAAGGATAAGTGCTTGAAGTGATCCGTACCCCATTTACCCTTAACATGATTATTACACATTGTATAGCTATATAAAAATATCTCATGGGCCGGGCGCAGTGGCTCACACCTGTAATCCCAGCACTTTGGGAGGCCGAGGCGGGTGGATCAGCTGCGGTCAGGAGTTCAAGACCAGCCTGGCCAACGTGGCAAAACCCTGTCTCTACTGAAAAGAAAAATTAGCGCCGGTTGCGGTGGCTCAAGCCTGTAATCCCAGCACTTTGGGAGGCCAGGGCAGGCGGATCACAAGGTCAGGAGATCGAGACCATCCTGGCTAACACCGTGAAACCCCGTCTCTACTAAAAAAATACAAAAAACTAGTCGGGCGTGGTGGCGGGCGCCTGTAGTCCCAGCTACTTGGGAGGCTGAGGCAGAAGAATGGCGTGAACCCGGGGGGCGGAGCTTGCAGTGAGCCGAGGTCGCGCCGCTGCACTCCAGCTTGGGGCACAGAGTGAGACTCCGTCTCAAAAAAAAAAAACAACAACAAAAAAAAGAAAAATTAGCTAGGCGTGGTAGCTGGCGCCTGTAATCCCAGTGACCCAGGAGACTGAGGCAGGAGAATTACTTGAACCCAAGAGGTGGAGGTTGCAGTGAGCTAAGATCGTGCCATTGTGCTCCAGCCTGGGCAACAAGAGCGAAACTCTGTCTCAAAAAAAAAATCTCATGTACTGCATAAATATATATACCTTCTATGTATTCACAAAAATTAAAAACTTTCTTTTCTTTTTTTGTTTGAGATGGAGTCTTGCTCTGTAACCCAGACAGGAGTGCAGTGGCGTGATCTTGGCTCACTGCAACCTCCGCCTCACAGGTTCAAGCAATTTTCCTGGCTCAGCCTCCTGAGTAGCTGGGATTACAGGTGCACGCCACCACACCCGGCTAACTTTTGTATTTGTAGTAGAGATGGGGTTTCACCATGTTGGCCAGGCTGGTCATGAACTCGACCTCAGGTGATCCGCCCGCATCATCTTCCCAAAGTACCAGGATTATAGGTGTGAGCCACTGTGCCCAGCCCTCTTTTTTTTTTTTTTTTTTTTTTTTTTAAGAAGAGGCAGGGTATCACTCTGTTGCCCAGTCACCCAGGCTGGAGTGCAGTTGTGGGGTCACAGCTCACTACAGCCCCCAATTGTTGGCTTCAAACAGTCCTCCTACCTTGACCTCCCAGAGTGCTGAGATTACAAGCATGAGCCGGCATGTCCAGCCAAAAAAAATTAATTTTTTTTTCTTTTTTGAGACAGTGTCACTCTCTTGCCCAGACTGGAGTGCAATGGCTTGATCTCAGCTCACTGCAACCTCTGCCTCCCAGGTTCAAGCCATTCTCCTGCCTCAGTCTCCCAAGTAGCTGGGATTATAGGTGCATGCCACCACGCCCGCCTGATTTTTGTGTTTTTAGGAGAGACGGGGTTTCACCATGTTAGTCAGGCTGGTCTCGAACTCCTGACCTCAGGTGACCCACCCGCCTTGGCCTCCCAAGGTGCTGGGATTACAGGCATGAGTCACCATGCCCCCCAATTTTTTTTTTTTTTTCTTTTTATTTTTAGATGGAGTCTCGCTCTGTAGCCAGGCTGGAGTGCAGTGGTACAATCTTGGCTCACTGGAGCCTCCGCCTCCCGGGTTCAAGTGATTCTCCTGCCTCAGCGTCCCGAGTAGCTGGGACTACAGGTGTGCACCACACTCAGCTAATTTTTGTATTTTTAGCAGAGATAGGGTTCCATCATGTTGGCTAGGATGGTCTCCATCTCTTGACCTCGTGATCCATCCACCTCGGCCTTCCAAAGTGCTGGGATTACAGGCATGAGCTACTGCGCCTGGCCCAAAATTTTTTTTAAAAAGAGAGAAAGCCCAGATAGAGAAAATAGCGTTTGGGAACTTGGGAGTAGTTAGGTGTGACTGGAGCGTTGTTGGTACAGGATAGGTATTAGAAATAAAGACAAATTGGTGAGCAGGGGCCACCAGTTGGTGAGGTGGGACGATTGCTTGAGCCTGGGAGGTGGAGGTTGCAGTGAATCAAGATTGCACCCCTGTACTCCAGCCTGGGCAACAGAATAAGACCCTGTCTCAAAAAAAAAAAAAAAAAAAAGTGATGTGATTAGATTTCTTTATTTTTTAAAATTTTTATTTCCTTTTTTTTTTTTTTTTTTTTCTCTGAGATGGAGTCTCACACTGTCACATGCCCAGGCTGGAGTGCAGTGGTACGATCTCGGCTCACTGCAGCCTCCACCTCCCAGGTACAAGCGATTCTCCTGCCTCAGCCTCCCAGGTAGCCAGGTAGCTGGGACTACAGATGCACGCCACCACACCCAGCTAATTTTTTTTTTAATTTTTAGTACAGATGAGGTTTCACCATGTTGGCCAGGCTGGTCTCGAACTCGTGACCTCAAGTGATACACCTGTCTTGGTCTTTCAGAGTGCTGGGATTACAAGCATGAGCCACTATGCTTTGTCTGATTTAAATTTTAAAGAAGTGTTTTTCAGATCCAGAGAACACTTGCATCAGAAAATCCAATTGGCCATTCTCTACTGAAACAGACTCTTGGGAGGGGCATTGGGGACTCAGACATTTATGTATTAAAGAATATCCTAGGTTGGTGCTCTGTACTGTAAAATTTGAGGATTCTTTTACAGCAGTTATTTTGTCTGCAATTAAGAGGAACAAGATCAAAGACAGAAAAGCTAGTTAAGAAAGCTGTTGTAGGTGTC